TGATATTTTGTGTGTATTTTTGAAGTTTTCTTAATTTACACAGGACCACAATAAGAAGAAAGTATGTATTAACTTAGGAACCTTTGAAGCCTACCATTACAGAGGTATTCACATAGCATTCTACCTTTCTTAATTTTTTGCTCTTCTATCTAGGAAAAAATGGTAGAAACCGAAGTTTTAGGAAATTTTCTTGCGATCTCTGAGCAGTATACAAAAAGCAATTGACTATTGAATTTCGAAGAAATGAAAACGCAACCAATTTAACCAGTTTAAATTTAAACATAATCCGATCCTGTTTCGAAAGCTTACAAGGGGCAGCGGAGACTAGTTTCCGTTGTTCTGTTAAAATACCGTTATGCCTCTGAAAAGCCGCTACGGTACTGTTAGTTGACTTCACTATTTTTTCTACGTGTACTTACATTTAAATTATGGGTTGTCTAAAAAATGTTGCGTTCCATACAAAAGTTCAACTTAAGACTCTCCTTGCATAATTTTATGTATGCATTTCCTTCCAATTTAGTAAATCACCGCGGTTGCAAACGAACCGATAACGTACATTTAATTTAATCAGTGCTCAAGTTTTTGTGCGTAAGACACGACTGCGGCCGAAATAAGTCTCGGCGCCGTTTACATAACACTGCCAAGAAGTAATTACATGCAATAAAAGTATACACAATGAGCCGAGCCTACCACTTTCTCTAATAATTCCCAGAAATTAAGCTTCCCCTTCCGTTAAAATCATTCCGGTTCATTAATTCCGACAACAAAATTTATAATTCATATCATAAGAGGTATCCGCGCTATTAATAGAGCTCGCCTGTGGTTTTCAATGGTTGGTAAAGGCAGTATTTACGAACATTTCTCTAAACATTTATGAAAGGGTGGTTCCGTAAGAAAAATTCTTTATAATATACAGTGTGGTCCGCACAATTGTGTCTTAAAGAGGAATCGTTGTAAGCTCATTTACGACCCCCTTGGATGTCCTAACAATACCTCTTAGTGACGCTCTTCGAAATGCTTGGGGTCACTTTTAACTTTATAACACCCTGTATAGAAACCATGAAAGAATTTTTAAGAAATCGAGAACAAGCATTTATAAAGAATGACATTTTCTTATAAATTTATAAATAAAGAAGTATTTCGTCTTCAGGGCATAATAATGGGACAATTCGCATTAATCTACTTATATGTAATTAGTCATATATTAATACCACTGACACTCTCGTTCCAAAATGTCATTTTTTTAAATAGTTTTGTATACATTTCTGCTAATATTTATTAAATCTGTTCGCAAGGTGACCACCTGAAGAAACAATTCTAAGTAAAATTTGGTAATAATGAGATATTTCTATAGTGGCTATTTTTACGTGTTGTTCTTAGTTAAAGATGATGTTAAACAACAAAAATACAAGATATTTTTTTGAAATGTTACATTATTTCCCCCAGCTTCACGCAACATTTTAGGTTGCACCGTTGTTCCAGAAAGTCGCACATTTCAAAATTCGTTACTGCACTTAAACACGTCGTTGCACTCAAATAACAATATGTATCACGAAAACTAAATGAGATACCAACAATCCAAGAACATGTGGTTACAGAGGTTATGCGCAACGCATTGCTGCCAACCATATATCACTAAATGTCTCCATTAAGACGTAATTCAAAAAGTTTGGTTATTTTGTGAACAGACCTCGTATGTGTTTTTAAAAGGTCAAAGGTAGCTTCCGTATAAATATGACCCCCATTAGTGACACTCTCTATATAAAAAAAATTGTATAAATTGCAATAAAGTAGGTATAGATTTTCGAGGCTGCACGACAATAAATTGAAATTTTATTTTGGAGGTGATTAATTATACACAGTTGCTAATTCATTTAAGTTTATTTAAAGGCAAACGCTAATTTTTACAATTTCGTACAAAAAATAACCAAATAATATGAATTAAGGATACAAGGTAACAAAATAATGATATAATAATAATATTATTATGTGACTTAATAATGGTTCATTCTAGGTCAAACACGCGATATTCTAACTTTGGCAATGGAATTTCATGTAGGTCGATAACATCGGCGTTACTTCATAGTTTCTAGCGATTTTTTTAACTTCACTTTCAAAGTAAATCCTGTTCTACATAGGTTTTGGATTTGAAGGGTTTACATCAAACGGAGATTAATTAAAACTATATTACACTAAAAAAATTGTCCTTTGATATTAACATTGTTTATCGCATCCAAAGGGATTTAAACTTAAATTAGCTTTAGAAACTTATTATTAAATTAGGTCAAATTTCGTCGCACTTGATCCCATCAATCCCATATCAAAATAAGAATAAAATTACCAAAATGTTTTAATTTATGAACGGTATGTTGCACTTTATAAAAAATATTAAAATTACAATAAGACTAATAATGAAAATCCTCAAAATTACCATTTACATTTAATAAAAGTATAAAAAGCATTTATTTAATTATTTGTTAATTTCTAAATTTCTTACTTGAGGAGGTGCATTGAAATATAGTATTCCGAAATAATTTGTTCCTTCTCTTGTTTTCTGTCTAATGTCTAAATTCAGTATTATAAGAATGGAACTGTCTACATAAATTATACAAATTATATTTTACATAAAGAAGGCACTGAAATCTGTAAGTAGACATATAAGTAACATATTTGAATGAGACAAAATGTGAACATACGCAAAAAGATCGGGGGAACTAGAATCAGATTAAAAAAAACTTTATTTTTTCACGTGCAATATTGCGGGTCCTGCGGTTCGGGTTTTCCTCCACAAGGTGTAAAATGTCTTCCTCCCTATTTAAGACATGTTGCGGTGTTTTTGCTCCATGAACTTTTTGTTTGGTTCGCTCTACCGGTGCCCCGTATTCTTTGAACAGCGTTTTGCACTGTTCTAGGATGCGGTTGGAGGTAACAATTCGCATACAAACGGGTCATATTTAAATGATATTCACACTCCAAATACCTACATTAATACCATATCCGCTAATCCTTAATTTGTATAAAGCATTTTGAAATAAAACAACATAAATCAATTTATCCACGAGAACAACCACACGTCCGAGCCCGTGCCTAGCAAATAACCATACTGCATTGTAGACAGTTGATTAGTTGATTACTTAGGGCGGCCTAAGCTTCGCGTAATATTTCTTCATACATTTTCTGGAACACTTAACATTTTAGACCGCAAATTGCTTAATGATCACGTCCTCTATTGGCCGTTTAAAGGAACGCTCTTATTTCAGAAACATTATAATTTTTAACATAAATATTCCATGTCAGTGGCTCTATCTCACAGATAGAATTTTTTAAGTTTACAAAACTGCCTATTTGTGCTATCCCTCACCCTGACTACCCGCGTACTATGCGACGCGTACATTAACCGCGAACTGAACCAAGCAGCTTTGACCCAGCCTCAGTTCCCTCCTAAATCACGTTAAAAAGTAGAACATAATATACAGTGTGTCCGCGGATTGAGTTTATAGGAGAACAAATGAATCAAAAAGTGAACGATACGAAAAAAGGTAATCTTGATAAAAGTTTTTGCTTGTTTAGAAAAACGACTCACCACGACGAACTTCAATTTTGTTGTGTAGGGTGGATCAAAAACACAAAAATGTTATTTTGCATTAAAGTAAACATACCTTACTTTGCAAGATACGAAAAAAAGGCATTCCTGATAAAAGTTTTTGCTTGTTTAGAAAATACAAATGACCATGACAAACTTCAATTTTGTTGTACAGGGTGGATCAAAAACACAAAAATGTTATTTTGCATAAGAGTAAACATACCTTATTTTGCAAGATACGAAAAAAGGCATTCCTGATAAAAGTTTTTGCTTGTTTAGGAAATACGAATCGCCATTACAAACTTCAATTTTGTTGTACAGGGTGGATCAAAAACACAAAAATGTTATTTTGCGTAAGAATAAACATAATTTATTTTGCAAGATACGAAAAAAAGGCATTCCTGATAAAAGTTTTTTCTTGTTTAGAAAATACGAATCGCTATAACAAACTTCCATTTCGTTGTACAGAGTGGATCAACAACATAAAAATGTTATTTTGCGTAAGAGTAAACATACCTTATTTTGCAAGACATTCTTGATAAAAGTTTTTGCCTGAAAAATTAATAAGTCACGTTATCAAATATTTAATTTTTTATACAGGGAAAAAAGTACAAAACTAATATACGTCTTATTCAAGTGTAATTTTTAAATAATACGAACATAATTATAACAACAAATAAGCTAAAAAAGTAAACAACGCAATATGATGAAGATATCAAATTTCAAAAACACCATCCCCATATTGAACACATTTTACTAATTGCTTCCTTCGTATCTTACAAAATAAGGTATGTTTGCTCTTACGCAAAATAACAATTTTGTGTTTTTAACCCACCCTGTACAACAAAATTGAAGTTCGTCATGGTGATTCGTATTTTCTAAACAAGCAAAAACTTTTATCAAGAATCCTTTTTTTTCTTTCACTTTTTGGTTTATGGTCATGGTCCTATTGTAAACTCAATTCGCGGACATACATATATTGCCAAAATCATAATTAAAAATACTATTTGCAGCAATAAAAATATACGAGGTTAGTCAAAAATAAGTGCTGGTAAAATTAATTTCCAGTGAAACCGAAAATTGAACAAATGAATGATTATTATTAAAAAGGTTGTAATATCGTTTTATACAAAAAAATAAAATGTTTCATGTAAAAAAAATCTTTTTTTTTAATTAACATCAAAAATTGGCGTTTTAGTTAATTATATTTAATTCTAGAATAGTTTTTAAAAAATATATTTTATAAGGTGTACAAAATCCTTTCCTGGAAACCTCATTATATGGACGCTCTATATATCCTTAATAATTTACAATTCCAAACGTGCCAATTCGAACCAATCAATATCGAGCGCAATACATACACTGAACTTTAAACCCGTAAATTCTACGTTACTTCAAAAGTGTAAGTCTCTCTTACCTGGTGTGTCTATGCAGATGACGGATCCTGACTCCGAATCGGTCGCCAACCACCCCACGGGGGACCCCCTAGAATCGAGGTCGCTCTCCGACCGCAAATCATCGGAAGTCTCCTCCAAGATGGTCTCCAGATACATGTAGTGGCCCGCTGACCCCTGCAGGAAGTATTCGGCATCTGCAACAAAGTTCAACTTCAACAAAAGTGCCAGTGACAAAGGTATCTAAAAAAAGTATCAATAGGCATCTGGAAATTAAAATTCGTAAATACTGGTAAGGGGCTTTACTGAAAATAAGATTACAGTGCCGTGGTGTCAAATCGCAGAATTACAAATAGTGACATATTAGCTAGTAAGAGTGACAAACATTTTATGTTATTTTCATCATAAATTGTAAAACTAATAATAAAAAATAAATGTAGGAACTCCTAAATAAACACTATAAACATCAAAACCCAAGACATATAGTTCTTTCGAGAACTAAAACCGTCAATCGAGAACGACATCCTCAAATAAACTATTTTGCTTAGTTGTATTGCTTACTGACCAATATTTCCTTTTTCAAATGGACTTGCCACATGTTTGTAGCAGATATGGATACACCTGGTTCTTAAATGAAGTGTGAAATCTAGCACAACGGACTGGCCTCAGATTTTAATCAACGGTGAGTGTAGGAAGTTTTTAGAAAGAAATGCAACTCATTCTGACAGCAATCGATCAGTATCGAACGTAGGATGCTAAAATGAAAATATGCAATATAAAACAATACGAAAAACGCCCCCCAACGCCGGTTTTGTCGCACAACGGGATAAATAATTCATAAAGTGAATGTGTTGTATTTTAGATGATAAAACCATGGGTCTGGTTTACTGGCAATGTTACATTTTTAAATCATAAATAATTTAGGAACTCGACATCTATACTCGTATACAACCCGATTCACTTCGAATGGAAATCCCGGAAACGGAAAGAAGTACAAATTAGTTGATTTACAAAAAAATTGCACATCGACTCGTGTTATTAGAATTTTTGTTGTTATTATGGCCATTGTTGTAACATTGGCCATGGAAAATTGTGTGAAATTATGCTGTTTTCAAATTTTTAAAACTATTCTTGCAAAAAATGTAAAAGGCCAGGCGAAGTGAAAATTAAATACAATTAAAAACTAATCAAAAAAGTTAAAGAAATTTAATATTTCTAATATTCAAGGGTGCAAAATTATTCAAGGTAAAAAAGGAATAAGAATTTTAATAAAATCAATCAATCAATCATCATCAAATCAATGTTTCTAGTGATCTGTCCAGAAGGAAACTAAAGACAAGATCGTTTTAACGTTGCACAACTTTTTTGTAATTTAATATTTATAAAAGGACTAAAAATTGTCAAAACTAATGTGATAGCAAAAGCTACAATATACAGAGTGTATATTTAAATGGGAGTTATATTAATACGGAGGCTACATTTGATCTTTAGAAACACATATCACAAGTTTTTGTTTTCTCAAATTCCGTCATGAAAACTGTTGTTTTCTTATCGATTTTTTCGTAATTTTCATACCCCGCCACTAGACAGGCTATTGTAACCTCAAATAATCACATGCGTTAACTACTAACTGCGAAAAATCTGGATCTACAAATGAGATAGTCGTTAGGAAAACTTACTTTTCCTTTACTGCAACCCTTCATAATAGTGACTATTGTGTATGCATAACCAAAGATCAACGTTAACACAAAAAAAAATGACAGTTCTAAATGTGTTTATTTATATTTAAATTATTGAAAAGGTCTTTACTTTAATTAATTATAGTAACTAATCATTATTATAAGCTCATTAATGTGTACATAATGCCCACTGAGTAGATATATGTATAAAAAAAACATGAAAGACCTCAAGACCACCCATGTTCGATACAGGAAGTGTTAGATATTATGAAGTGCTCAATTTTAAATTTAATACAATCTAGGTATAATATAATATACGCAGTTCCATTAAATTGATTTTTAAGTATTATTACGAAGTAAAACGTTATTTAATCTTTCAACTGTTTGTTTATATTTATGAAAGAATTTTATTATCAAGGCAAGGTTCAGGACCGGCGGAAGGGGTGAAACAGTGGAAGTATATGTTTCAGAAGACATTTTTTAAAGGGCAGCATTTTAACCAAGGTTCATTTTTAGTTATGGTACGTATTAACACTGGATTATTGCCTATTATACAGAGTGTTACAAAAAAGTAAATGACGCTGGTTACTCGAGCGAAAATCTTGGTAGTTTCTTTATGTCATTTAGATGTCTCTTTTACAGGATACGGGGTGTGAAAAGTATGATTGAAACAACTAAATAACTTGTATCCTATGTCAGTGATTTTTTTGCATGGAGGGTTGCATTACCCATTGTCTATTATATTAAGTGTTTTAACTTTTTAATTATTTTAATAAAACACATAATTTATTCGAAATACCTAGATATCTTTATTGAAGCAGATATGTTGCGGTTAATAATGGAAAAGCCAGATAAGTGAGCACATCTTAAAGCTCTACAAGCCTTTAGTCTTTCAGCAACATTTTCCATCAGGTGTTCACATAATTGTGGTTCAATTTGAGTGATTTGTGTTTTCTTTCAAATGTTGGATGGTTTGAGGATTGTTAGGATAAATTTAATTTTTTCAAAAAAAAAACCATAAGAAGTCTAAAGGTGATAGATCGCGTGATCTTAGTGGCCAATCAATATCTCTTAGAATGATTATCCCATTAACAAATTTCTGTTTTAAACGATCGATTGTTTCCGTTGCTGTATGACATGTTGCACCGTCCTGTTGAAACTACATACTCTGCACAGTAATACCCTACAATTCATCCCATAAAAAGTTATTAATCATCGTTCAATATAGAGCATCATTCACAGTAACAACGCTGGCTTCATTTTCAAAGATCAATCACTCCATCAAACCAAAAACCACACCAAACAGTCACTTTTGGTGGATGCATTGGTTATTCCAATATTACTCGTGGATTTTCCTCACCACAGATACGACAACTTTGTTTATTTACATATCCACCAATTTCAAAATGAGATTCATCACCTAAAGATGATTTTATTAAAAAACATAATTTGCTTCCTTCACTGGTAAGAGCTCATTTAACAAATCTACGATGTAATCCATGATCAGCTGGTAATAATTCCTGTATTAACTATATTTTGTACCTAAGCTTTTAAGTGAAGATCCTCATGCAAAATATTGAATAAAGTGGTTTGTTTAATGCCTAATTGCTGTGAACGATGACGAATTGATGTGTTTGGTTCTGCAGTGATACTATCATTGACAGCTTCAATATTTTCTTGTGAACGACCACTGCGACTGTAAATGTTACTTCTTTGACCTTGAATTGAACTAGTTTTTTCAAATTTATTCGCAATATGGTGCTGTTTGTTGGACCATTTGTTATTCCGTACTTTGTACGATAATTTTTAACAATAAAGACACGTTTCCCAAACGTATACTTCTCCATCATATTATTAACCGCCATGTTTCTACTTAACAGCTGTCAAAAAAACAAAATCATTGTAGTACAATAAAACACAAATGGCGGCAAATATAAAAAGTTAACTCAAATTTGAAAACCCGTTGTCTTGTAAATAATAATAAATGTTTTAAACCAGCGTTTGCTGCCGCGTTATGCCAGACGTTATTAACATAATATATTCATAATTTAAAATTTACATAATTGAGAAATGTGTGTAAATTTGTTGTTGTAATATATTTCTTTTAACTTTTGTTCCCTAGAATATTTTTTAATTTGTTATATTTATCTTTTGAGATGTATATTTTATTTATGTTTTTTATAACAAACTTGTTTAAACAGTGGTAAGTAAATATTTTTTCTTAGGGAGGTTAACAAATATTTGCTTCAGACGGCAATTATCCTGGCGCCGGCCCTGTCAAGAATTATATGTATATATGACCTACGGTAATAATCATTGCATAATGTTGACTAATTATAGCTTCATCATATATTATATATTATATCTTTATAAACAACAGGGAGACAAGACAAATAATATATGTTATCTAAGAAATATGAAATTTGTAATGAAAAAATCTACATCAAAATTATAAATCGATGCTAACGAAGAAAAACCGTCAGCCAATAGAGTTGTTTGGCAATTTCTTACATTTTGTAAAAGATATTACGCAGTAAAATATCCTAGTTAATTTCACTTCGCGGGAATTGCCGTAAATGGTGAGAGAATAAATGGTGAGAGAACGAACATAACGTTACTTCACGTAAAGGCTCAATTACAATTAACTGAGATAAGTCACTGACATCTTGACAGGTTAACCTTGAATGGGATCAAAACTATTTCTCGTCATCACTGAATAGCTATTTTTTATTCTAGGTTGTCAAGAATGGCTTTTGTAGCTAATCAAGAATGGATAATTCGAAAATACAAAAACCGCTTCGTGGTTGCACTGAGGGAAATCGACCAATAAGAAAGTTTTGCTAAGACAATTTGTATCATCATATCAAATTTTTCTTATTAGTGTTCAATTATCTCATGTCAAGCTTAATAAAAGTTATTTTACTAACACGATTTTACTATATATCTAAAGTCGATGGTTTACTAGAACAAGGGGGCAGCTTCTTACAGTGATTAGTTACATTTTTTCTAGCACTTTTTCCACTAAAGATAAGTAGATGACTAATTGCACTAGGTAATTGACTTTAGGTGAGGCCTACCAATTTTTTTTTGCAATCATAGTTGTCACGCAGACGTGAGTGCTCGTAGTACACATAAGTAAGAGTGAAGTGGAAAGCGAAAGGGATTTTTCAAATGATGAAAAACATCAGCCTCTTGAAATCCTAGAAAATGCAGTACGGAAACTTATGCCGGTTGGGTATCGTCCAAAGAGGTCTAAGACTTTGACGAAAGTAGAAATTGAAACATTTATACAAAATGTCCCTTATGAACAATTTGCAATGAACCAATTGCAAACGATTTAATCAGAAAGGATCATGATGGTGAAAACAATTTTATACAAGCCTAAAAATTAGCCAAATATCCCTCAGCAAAAAACTAGATTGATCACCGGTACGTCAGACCAACAGGACAGGCATTAGAGCCGCTAGATACGTATCGAATAAATTGATCGATGTGAATCTTCAAATCAGAGGCAGACA